TTTCTCCACTTTGGAAGCAGCTAGAGCAAAAATTTTTCACTGTTAAATAGGGCATTGTTTACACTATATATACCGCTATTCAAAACAGAAAATTTCGTACCTACGAGTTTTTCAGAAAATGCCGCCTAAATGCCCACTGTGAGCTGATTACGAATATATAATTTTTCATATCGGAAAATACTTTCAGAATGTTCTGAAGTAAGCGCGGGTCAATTTGATTATACTGGAAATAGCTGGATCGGTTTCTTACTTAAAGAAGCATTTTTGGTACAAAACTTTGAAGGATTCTTTATTAAAACCTATCGGTTATAAGCATAATCGATCTTGGTTATCAAGCGGCTTCATCAGTTAAGCAAAAGTAACCGAAGTAACCAATGCATACGTATTTCGAGGTCCAAAAGTGAAAGATGTGATAGGATCAAAAAAAGTAGTCGTACGTCTGGGAACCAGAAACCACGATGATTAACCTAAACTTATTATTTGAGATTATAGTCATTAAATTGGCTGGAGATGTTTCTACACTAGATTTTTTACAAAATAATGTGGTCATCTCTAAGAACATATACAGAATAATGTCTTAGTCAGATTTGAGCTTCTGTAGACTTTTCACCGATCAATCAAATTGTATCTCGGATTTTTGTTTGCATACACTGCAATTTTTGAAAAATAATTAAAATACTTGAATAAATCATATTTCTGTTGGCGACCTAATATTTTTATTGGTCTTTCAACTGATACTTTGATACTAGCATCGCAACTCTCTTTCTTTGACATAAATCCATATTCTCAGTACTGTCCAAATATACCCGGTAATAAACAGTTGTACAAACTTTCATTCTTATATACGGTCGAGCTAAAATTTGATGAATTACTATGCATTCATTTTTATGTACTGGTATATATCTGTTTAAATATTCACCTTATTGATCGACTAATTCGATGGCTGAACTTTAGTTAAGAACTTCAGCTTGTTAACTTTGTTTTTGTTTTAATTATTTGAACGTTGGTATACTTTGTTTTATTATTCAAACATCAATGATGATCTTTTGTTCTCATTGTGTCATTTGATCATGTACAATATTTGATTGTTTGAATTTTACTTATTATTTTATGTTTAAAATAGATGTACTCAAAATAAGATCAAGATTATATTTTCTATCATATACAAAGAATATAAATGTTTGTGGTGTTAATTAAATATAATAACAACACAATTAATGTCAAGGTTTGATCAATTAATCTATTAACCCTTTCCAGTCGGATGTGCCATATGGAAACATTTTTTGCTGTGTTTTAGAAATTACCGGCTGAAAAAGATTAAATAAAGGGTAATATTACAGCTGCAGTATGCAATATATCAACGGTTTAGAGAAAAATTAGAACTAAAAAAGTAATTTCATAAACTTCTAAAAAAAGAAGTTCATCTCACTCTTTGACATTGAAATGTATGTGAGAGTGGTGTATCATTAAAAAAACGATTTAATAGTTTTATCGAATTTTTCCAATTAATTAAAATTTCATTACCAAATATAGATATAATCGTCGCCATTCCTGCTTGAAAATCACAGCCACTTATCTTAAAACTAACATCCGTATTGAAAATACAATAGTGTATAATATTAATTGATAAAATGGTATGCTTATATGTTTTATCAGGAGATTTATTAATTATTAAATTATTTTTATCAATATCATTAATCTTTATTTAGCTTGTATGTCATCACTATATCAGCTATCAACGTCTAGTTTATTAGGGGATGATCCATAACATAACGAGTCTAACTCGTGAAAATTTATATTTTTGAAAAAACAACATCACTATCAATGGTTTAAATGATCTATTTTTTACTGACGACAACCTCTATGTTTCGTATGATCATATCTCACTTTACAAACATGCCATACCGCAAAATGTCACTCAACACTTTTTAGTATATCTCAAATATGTCATCAGCAGAGATGCATAACTTTTTACCATTAGGTACAGAATAATGTCACGGCATATATTACGATATACATCCATATACAATATATGGATACCATCCGCACAGGAATGGTGCTGCAGATATTTTTCTCAAAACATCATCAATCCTAAACAAAATCCTACGAATTTCCTACTAGGATCCTATAAGAACGTAATATTTAAGATTCTTTAATTTTTCATATTTTTCCTCAAAACTTAAAATATGTGTGGTAGAGCAATGAACAACCACTGATATTAACTTAAAGTGAGAATCAAGAGTTTACACTTCTTTTTCTGGTGTGTTTATTTACAAAATTTTTGACCGAAAGGCATAATATTGATATTCACAAGCACAATCATTAATTATCAACAATTTCTATTTTTCTATTATAATTTTTATCTTATTCATCTTCATGAAACTAGAGTTTAATTTGGAATTACATGAGCTGGTAGCAAATATCTGCTGTACAATCACCAACAATTACTAATTGTGTATGGTTCCTGGGCAGGAAAACAGATTGTTTTTTGGCTCGAGAGAAAGCTAGAATTTTGGCAGATAGCGATAAATAAAGGTTTCAGGGTAAGTAATCAGCAATAAAACAACAAAAAGATTTTTTAAAACTTATACACAACATTTTGCTTGAACCAGTGATGCAACAAGAATTTTTTGAAGCTTAGGCGCATCTCTATCTCTGCTGAAAAAGATTGAGCATATGCATCAATGGACAAAATATTTCTCCATTATAGAAAGTGACAGCAAAAATTCTGAGAAAAAGTCACAACTCCAAGAGGCTATCTTCTCTTCCAATCGGAATCACTGTTCTCAAAATGGTTTAAACACATGACACATAAAGCAACAAAGAATTGTTTATTATGCATGTAAAAAAAGTGTAGTTTTTTATTATTAAAAAAACTGGAGAAAAAGAAAAAACAAAGCACAAAAAATATTTGTTACAAATAGAAATGTGCAAAACAACTAGCTTGTATCTATTGTAAATATATGACGGAGAAAAATGAGGAAAAATTCTATAAACTACAGCAAATGATTCTATTATTGAAATTCTATACAAAACAACGAAAGAGAAATAATTAATTTATACTTTCTATGCTTTTCAAATACAACTTCAACGCAGATACAATAAAATAGAAATAAACAATATTGGGGTGCAAATTGTAACAAAGTTATTATAAAACACAACAAAAAAGCAATGCGTAGTTTAACAAGTCAAAATAAATAAAATATGATGAATCATATCAAAATAGATGGCTGTATAAGCAATAAAGAAGTGAAAATTATATTACACTGCTTGTATAAAAAAGTTCATTTTCGTCATAAATTTATTTCTGATGGAACTAGCTATCAAGGAAAATATAATCAAGCATAAAGAGAAATACTCTTAATACTCTAGAAAATAGCTGTATAGAGTTTCTGCGACAAAATATACTAAAAGCTTTATTTTCCAGTAAAAAAAAATGTGTAAAGCTTTTAAATGTCGAAAAAGAAGAAAAAAAATGTTTAAACAAACATCAGATCAAGAGAGATAACAAATATTTATAAATTAATACGAAATAATTCAACGAAATGAAATAATTAAAAAAACTTTTGTCGAAATAAACAATATCGACAAAAAACAACAACATTGAAGCAAGTTTGTTCCTAGTTAAATTTTCGCATACAAAAGTGTAAGAGTAAAAGGAGAAAAAAATTCATATGTCATATAGATAGTTAAAAGAAAAATGTGCATAAGTAGATGCGTGTATCTGACAATTTTGTTTTTAACCTGAGCTATAGATAAAAAAAAAGCATCATCTACATATCACATGAACATCATGAGAGAAAATCAAATCAATTTCTTTAACATACTAAAAAAGTTAATCTGTTGACAGTTTGTCCTTTGTATGATAATAAACAAAAAAACTGTTGATTAAAACGAGTTATTGAAAAGATTTATTAAGCTGTTTTTGTTATTATTACATTATTATTGTATGGTAGAGGATAAAATTATTTACGTGGTATGTGTATAACATCTATGAGATGAGTGAGTTACATAACATCAACAAAAAATTCACATGGATGAGCCATTGCTTGTAGAAATGATTCTTTACTTGAACGTAATTGATCTGGTACAGATTCTAATTGTCTAGAATTATTTAACGTTGAATTTTGATGGTGATGTTGTTGTTGTTTTTGTTGTTTTTGTTTTGATGATAGTTTTAAACTATCAATATCCGATGTTGTACTACTTGTTGATGATGATTTAACACTAAGAGCATCTTTTGAACATGATGACCCACCTATATAAAAAAAGACAAATAATTTTGTTAATATTTTTGAATAAATAGTAGTGGAATGTTAGTAGAAATAGATCGATACAATATGTGCTGGCTAGACACGGGAAAAACATGTTAGTAGTGAGTACGAATCGAGCCAAATGTAATAAAACATGCACTAAAAAATAAACTCTAACATTAAGAGTACGTTTTTTACACATAACTATTAAAAGCAAACGTATAATAGATCTATAAGTCTTTCAATGATGCGTTTTTGCGTACGAGCTCTTTAAAATTATTTTGAGAAAAGAACACAGATAAAAACAATGTCTCTCATCACATAGATAAAAACTAAGGAATTAAGTCTATCGTCTATTGTTTTTTCATTTACGTTTGGGAGGGGTGAGCGTGTCTCATATTGATCCCTAAAACTATAAAAAACTAAGAAGAAAATTCGTATCTTTTTAGTCATACAATATCCTTGAATAAAAAAATTCTATTCCGAAAGCTTTTTTTAAATTGCATATAAACTAAAAGAACAAGCTAAAAGATATTTTTCTTTCATTGAAATTCATTCATTTACTAATCACAGAGTAAAAAAAATTGTTGATTTTGTTTACAAGAAAACTGGTTTACTAATAATGCTTATCTGAGTGGTTTACGATAACGAGAGTAGTGTCATATTTTCAAACATTAACTGGATTATCACTCATTATTACATTATTCTTGTTATAATGGCTGTTTATGTCATTTACATCTTCAACACCTTATTCTCATTCTTAATACATGTTTTGGAAATACATAAAAAATAATAACTTTTTTTCGATGCTATGAATTTATCGAAAACAAAGTAGATGTATCACGTTCAACTGTTTAGAGAGTAGAAGAGAGAAAAAAGAAAATAAAAAAATACTAAACACACTAAGTATTCATGCATTTATAACTGAAAGGAAATTCTTGGTGAAAGAGTTTGAACAAACTTCTTAGAGATCACTTAACGATGTTATTATCCGAATGAGATCAAGGAAAAAGTTAAATTAAAGCAATTACAATGATATTTGTTCAATTTAGTGGCTTTCACGGTCAATCTTACCTGAATTACTATGCGTTGACTGCGTTATAGCTGCTGGTAACGTAGAATCGTGAAATGTTTGTTGTGGAGAATAAAGAGCAGTATTATTTTTATCTAGATAACCGTATGTTGTTGGTTTTAATGGAGCCAATGTATCACGATCATTTTCTAATACAGACTCATAATCTTCCGGTTCTTCATCTAATGTTAGTTGGGATATACCTAAAATAAACCCCATTACAAACTAGTTGAGAGAGAGAGAGAGAGACCAGAATAGAACGCAAGAAGGAGGGGAGAACAGCACTACAAGGCAGATGTACCCATTCCGGAATACGTCTGTTGTGGAACGCCATTCTGTCGTTCTATTTTTTAGAAGCCGAGCTTAGCTGTATTGATTATTATCTGTAAGATTTAGACCGAAACTGGAAAAACGTTTTTTGTTTCAGAATAGCAGTCCACCATTTAGAGTGGCATTCCAGAACTTTTGTACTCATTTCGGAATGTGCTTTTTACCTCTTGATAGAACAAAAGGAAAGCAAAATACAAAACAAGACTACACAGTTGTTGGAATCGAACGGAAAAACTATGAATTTTAAAGCATCAATTTTACTTTTGGACTTCAATTATCCAACAGTAAACTAGTATGTATCATTAACCGTTTCTTTTGGCTTGAGTGCATAAAAGAAAACGTACCTTGCGTATATAAATCTCCGAAAACATAATAACATTGTTCACTAAATGTTAATTTATTAACTGTATGTCGAATATAACCAGCTTTCAACATGCTACTGGCATATTTTCGAGCGTCATTACGTTGAATAAACCCTTCAACATGTTCAAATAGCCAATTTACAAGATCCGAACCTGCAATTAGATATTAATAAGTTGACCTTTATTTGCCTATAACTTATAACACTAAATACATACCTAAAAAGGCTCTGGGAATGGGCATTTTTAACCAAGAACGGTCTCGAATATCTAGACCAGAATCTTTTTCTGTCATTGCTCTTAATATTGTATCCATATCACTATTTACTGTTAAATTTAGATCCAAAGCAAACCCTTAAGAAAAGAAGAGTTATCACTAAGGAATAAGTCATTAAACAATAATATATGACAACGTTCGTTTAAACGTTCTATCTTACTTTCATTATCAGCTAATGTATTGTTTCCCGATGATATAGTTGAATTCATATTTGTTGTTGAATTATGGTGTGGTAACGATTGCCTTACTTGAGGATTAAATGTATTTGTAACAGCCTGATTATGCGCAAGCCAAGAGAGAGGATCAACTGGACGAGCTTGTTCATGACGAGGTAATGTAAAATATCCACGAGGCGATGTATCCCAGCATTTTGCAACAACTAATTTTATGGGACTAGAAAGAAAAATAATAATGAATAGATGCGAAAAAACTACAAGATTTTTGATTTTTTATTCTTACCCAGGTTTTTGGACAGCTTCACGTAATATTTTAACAGCATCATCGTTAGAAAGCTTTTCAAAACTAATATCATTTACTTGCAAAATCATATCGCCGGGTTCAATACGGCCGTCATGAGCAACAGCTCCACTATAAATGACAAAGAATAATATATAAACCTTTGAGGCTACTGAATTTAGAATTGAATTCGTACCCTTTCATAATAGATCCCACATAAATTCCTCCATCACTCATTCCATTCTTGTCACTCTGTCCGACAATACTTATGCCAAGAAAATTCACAGAATCTGAAACAAACAAACAATAAATAGCTAAAAGAATAAGAGTCGATAGGACATATATTGAACGCACCTAAGTTTAATGTTACAGTAATGATGTTTAATGTCATTGTCGAATCTGAATTGAGACTACTGAATGATGAAGCCTAAAGATAAGAACAAAGAATAGAACAGAAAGGTCAAAGAGATATCTCAAACACCTACACGATCAATAGCTACTGGCAACCGGTGTTTTCTTCTTCGTTGACGATTTCTTCCATGATATCGAGATGACACTGTTGTTGAATCTGTAATAGTCGAATATCTTAAAGAAAAAGAGAAAAGGTCAAATAGTTACGCTAAATGAAATGTGTGACCTTACCTGTCATCTTCTGTATCATCCAGAAATGTTGTTGTATCAAGATCGCTACTGGGAAATGACGAATCTTGATGTTGGCGTTGTTGTTTGATTAAAAATCGATGATCTTGACTAGCACTTGAATGATATCGACGAGAATTTCGTTGTAATCTTGGCTGTTGAATGAATGATGAACTATTCATTGTTGTCGTCAATGTATCATCGTCAATTATTCGTTGTTGTTTATACTGATGTCTTTCGCCGCTAGCTGTCGAAGAGCGATCGCCTCCCGATGTTGTACTTCCTTCAGAAAAAAAATATTGATTAGCTTCAAATTCTGGATCGAAAAAAAGTCGCAGACATACCTTCGATAGACACAAGATACGCCAATATTCGATCGGTACCATGATCGGCGTAAGGTAATATTTGATCATCGTTTATTATTTCTTCTTTCACTTTTCCAATTGTATTATCAGATGCCATGAAGAAAAATTTATATTTTGAACAATTTCGATCGAGAGCATTCTTAAAATCTTTTAATTTAACTGGATGTTGTTGACATAACTTTGTTAGATAAGGCGGCTCTTGATCATCGATATAATAAAATATTTTCGTTTCAATCAATGGACATGGGGAAGATGTAGCTATTTGCTGAAGTTTTTCATTTCCATCGTCACTCATTTTTCATATCAATTACTGATCTTAAGAATCAGTCGAGCATTGTTTGATTCTTATTTATAAAAATTCTAAAACGAGTACCAAAAAGACATAAGAGATGTGTAAGGTAATTATGTCCTTCGATAGATCAGATTTTTACCAAAAACGGACGATTTTCATCCAAACAAGATTGTCTCACACCATTCCTTAGAGACTAGAAAATCAGCACTTTTATTCCACGTAATTAAAAGAGAACTCATGCAAGTTTATCTTAGCTCAGCAATTTTAATCAACCTTTTGCTTCATTCATCAAGCTCTTACATTGAAAACTTTAGTTTAAAACAGAAGCCTGTCAAATAAGCAAACAGTACAAGTTGGGTGTGATCCCCATTCAACTTCTGCATTTAATAAAGGGATGGAATTGTAGAAAAAGCGTTGCTCTATTTCAAATGGGTTCGCAATTTTGTGAGGAAATTTTGTTTTAAAATGTAGGAGTGTCGTACTTTAAGCCAAATCACACCACGCTTTTTTACGCTGAGAAAAATGTAAGGACACCATCCCTTTAGCGTCTGCTGTTTTGATGGTAAGTTGTGCATCTGCGCTATACGAAAGAGCGTTGTTTTCTTTTGGCTCCAAATAGCAGCTCCACAAAATGTATTTTATGGCCGATACCCCATTCATTTTAAACGATACAGTATTCAATCAAATTCACTTAGATGTCGCTTAGAATCCGCATTTTTTCACTTCCAACAACTCCAGATCCCCTTAATTAACTATAAAACCTTTGGCTCATCTACAAGGTATTTATATTTTCTCCAAAAACTGTTGAAGTTTTTCAAAAGAAGTTTTTTTTTCATCGATAGCCATTTTCGTACCTCGTGCACATTTTCGCTAGCTGGAGCTGCAAAATCTTCACTTTTCCTCTTAGCTCCTAATGGAAGCTGCTATTTGGAACAAAAAGGAAACAACGACGAAAGAGCATAACGATGAGAACAAAAAGACTTGCTACAGTTGGTTGATAGAAGATCCAATCAAATCATCCAACGAAACCTTCAAACATGGTGGCATCATCGGCAAAAGGAAACAGAAAATGAGCGACATATTGATACAGTTCACTAAGATTTAAATTAAGTGATTCTTAAGATATGACACCGCAGAAAATAAAAAACAAGAAAATATTCTTCTCAAATTGTTAAAGGTGTGAGCTATCGTTCACACTTCAAGAGATGTGTCGTACACGTTCTAGCTAGTGAGTGCCACTGTCCCGGAAAAGCATACTTTTAGAAAAAGCACACTTAAATTGTGCCAATGGCATGGAAAAAGTGTGCCAAAGTATGCTTTTTATGTGCTGTTAGCATGCTTTTTTATGTGCTGCTAGCATGCT